TTTTTTTTATTTTGATTGTTTAATGGTTGTCACATGTTTAATTTTAACAACATAATAGGCAGTTGAAATATTGGTCACGTATTATTTACATGTAATGAAGGTCATTATAATAAAATGTTTTTATTACTTAATCTAATTTTCTCTCAAACCAAACATAAGAATCTAATATTCCCATAACATGAAGAATCATCTATTATCAGGGATTCACACTTATTTGAGAATCAATTTGTCTCCCAAAATCTAAAATTTTAGGAACCAAACACCTCCTTAATGTTTTTTATGTAATTTTTTTTTTGCATATATTATCGTTTTAAGTTCGTGGGACAAGTGCTTAATCACCAATAATTGGTATTGAAGCTATAAGGCTAAAGTTTTGTCATAGGTGATATTGTTCAAGTACAAGGCACTATTCACATATATGGTACTATTCATATATACGAAAATTTAGTTATATGGATAAATACGATTCTAGGAGTTTTGTCTAAGAAAATATGGTTTTGAGTGGGATTGGTTGTGACCCTTCCAATATTTTTTAGAAACCTACATAGTAGGAGTATTATTCACAATGTACTATATTTCGTATGCTTTATAGTCTATAATTTCATGATATGAAAGTAATGGCCAACAAAGAAGGTGTAGTATATGGAGTCAATAAATTTGATAGTACAGATTATTCTTTTTGAAAAATGCAAATGAAAGATTATCTGTTCGATAAAAAGCTATATTTACCACTTCTGTGCATGAAACTAGAAAATATGTTAGATGAAAATTGGAAGCTCTTTGATAGACAAGTGTTAAGAGTTGTTCGACTAACACTGTCAAAGAACGTAGCTCACAATGTAGCCAAGAAGACATTGATTGTAAATTTGATGAACGTTCTCTTTAATATGTATGAAAAACCTACTGCAAACAATAAAGTTTTTTTCATGAAGAAACTATTCCATTTGAAGATGGTTGAAGGTGCTTTAGTGGCATTGTATCTCAATGAGTTTAACACAATTGTCAATCAATTGACTTTCATTGAAATTGATTTTGTTGATGAGATTCACGCCCTAATTCTTCTGGCATCCCCATCAAATGGCTAGGAGCCCATGATGGTAGTGGTTAGTAACTCTATTGGTATTGTTAAATTAAAATTTAATGATGCTAGAGACTAAATTTTTATTTAAAAAATTTGTAGAAATGACTTTGGTGAAGCAACGACATCGGTTATTGCCTTAAATCTTGAGAATAGAGGTAGAGCAAATAACATAAATTCTAATTGAAACAAAAGACGATCAAAGTCCAAAAATGGAATAAGTAATTTCAAAGTTAATGGAATATTGAGTTTTAGAACTATGAAAAAATGAGCCATACAAAGAAACAATGCTAGGCCCAAAAATAAAAAAGAAAAAACAAAAGAGATGCTCAAATGTTGTCATTGAAGAAATGAATGATGCACTGTTCTTATCTGTTGATAGCCCAATTGACTTTTAGATTTTAAACTCCGGAGCATTTTTCCATATTATTGCTCACCGTAACATGATGAAAAATTATGTTGTTGGAAATTATGAAAAGGTTTATCTAGTTGATGGAAACTTTTGGGTATTGTTTGTATGTATAAAATTCATTTGAAAATGCTAAATAGTATGTGTGAAAGATTTAAAAAGTGAGGCATGTATCAAATTTGATGCGTAACCTGATTGTGATAGCATAGCTAGATGATGAAAGGTTTAATATCACAAAAAACGCTATGGTTATTAATCAAGGAACCAAAACAAGGACTCTATATGACCACAAGTTGTGGAAATACAGTAGTGACAATTGATGTTGATGTAAACTTAAACTTATGGCGTTGCAAGCTAAGCATATGGGCAAAAAGGGAATAAAGATATTCGTATCAAAAGAAAAACTTCTTGGATTAAAATCTATTGAACATCAACTATGTAAAAGTTATATTTTTGGAAAAAGAAAAGTGTTACCTTTTCAAAAGCTAAAAGGGAGTTTAAACAAAAAAAAAATAGAGTTGGTCCATTCTAACATATAAGGAATCAGTTATTTTCTGAAGAATAAATCCAATGTGTTTGAGGCATTTAAAAGGTGAAAAGCCATGGTTAAGAATGAAACAAATTAATCTAAAAATGAAATATTTGAAGTCCAACAAAGGAAAGAATAATTGAACAATAATTTCAAACTTTATTATGCCAAGAATGGGATCAAGATGTTGAAAATCATTTCGTGGATACCTTAACATAATAGAGTAACTGAAAGGAACAATAAAACCTCAAATAAGCATGCAAGGAATATAAAAATTCATGTAGAGCTACATAAAGAATTTTGGGTAAATGCAGTCAACACTATTACTTTCTTGATCAACAAAGGTCTTTCAGTATCTTTGGATAGCAGAATATCATAAGAAGTTTAAAGTGGTAAAAAGGTACAACTTTCATTTTTAAAAGTGTTTAAATGTCTTACCTATGTCTATATTGATGATACTACTAGAAGTAAACTTAATCGAAAATCTAAAAAATGCTATTTCATTAGCTATGAAGACACTAAGTTTAGTTATCATTTTTGGGATGATCAAAATCGAAAAATTATCAAAAGTAGAAATATGATCTTTAACAAGTAGATTCTGTATAAAAATAGGCTAAACGAGATTTCACAAATTATAAATTTTAAAATGAAAAAATTGAGGTAATTCATTTGAAAAACTTTCTAATGAATGATTTATAATAAAATGCTCAAGAAACTCAAGTAGACACACCTATTGAAGAATAAGAGAATATAGTCTTAGATGTTAGTCAATCCACTCCAACAGTAGAACTTAAAAAATCTTCAAAGACAATCAAACCACCATAGAGATTTTCTCCCTCATTGAATTACATTATTTTAATTGACAAAGGTGAACTAGAATGTTATGAAAAAGCAAAACAAGTTAATGATTCAATCAAGTGGGAGTTAACCATAAAAGATGAAATGGATTCATTAATGATGAACCAAACATAGCTCTTAGTAAAATTACTAGCAGTAAAAAAAACATTATAGAATAAAATGGATTTACTTGATAAAAGAAAAACATGATGGTAGCAAACGATATAAAGAAAAGCTAGTAGATAAAGGCTTTCAATAAAAGAAAGACATTGACTACATCGAGATTTTCTTTTTAGTGGTTAAATTGGCCACAATCATAACTATGCTTAGGCTAGTGGCAAAAAAAGATATGCACTTGCTATAGATAGACATAAAAATAGCTTTTTCTTTACGATAACCTAGAAAAAGAGATCTATATGTAGCAACTCTAAGGTTTTGAGGTCCAAGAAAAAGAGAAAATGATGTGCAAGCTTCTGAAAAGCCTATATGGTTTGAAACAAACTCTTAGACAATGGTATAAGAAGTTTGACAACTTCATGTGGAACAATGGTTTTTTTTAAGTGTCAAGCAAATCATTGTTATTATATCAAAAAGTTTAATGGCTTTTACATTATACTTTTGTTGTATGGAGATGATATGTTCATTGCCAAAGCAAGCATACAAGAAATTGAAAAGTTGAAAAGAAAGATTCTAAAGGAATTTTCAATGAAGGATTTGGGCGTTACAAAATATATTCTTGAAATGAGAATCACTAGTAATAGGGAAGGTCTTAAACTATCACAAAAAGAATATATAAATAAGGTGTTTTACAGATTCAATATGGATAAAGCAAAACCTGTTAGCACTTTTTTGGCAAGTCATTTCAAATTGTTTAGAAATTAGTCACCCACATTGAAGCAAGAAAAAGCTTTATGGCTAAAATAGCTTATGCCTCTATTATTGGTAGTCTTATGTATGCCATGGCATGTACCAAATTGAACATATCATATGGAGTAAGAGTTATGACCAAATATATGAGAAAACTAGGAAATCATTATTATGAGGCAGTTATGTGGATTCTCATATACTTAAAAGGTACAACAAATCTAGCTCTGTGTTTCAATAATTCAAACTTGAGATTACATGGTTATGTTGATACCAACATGGTTAGTGATATAGATAGTAGAAAGAGTACTACTAGTTATGTTTACATGTTGGGTGGTACAACAATCAGTTAGGATTCAAAGTTGCAAAATATAGTTACACTTTCTACTACTGAGGCAAAATATGTTGTAGTGATAGGCTAAGAAAGAGATGATATGATTGCAATCTTTCTTGGATGAACTTAGTCACAAGTTTGATAGAAGTGCATTGCATTGGGACAGTCAGAGTGCCATTCATTGGGCAAAAAATCCTATCTATCATGATAGGACAAAGCATATACAAGTTCGATATCGCTTATAAGATCAACTTTAGAACATAGTGTCTTAGTACTTAAAAAGATTCAAGGGAATCAGAATCCAACTGATACTTAAACAAAAATTGTAATAACTGAGAAACTGAAGTTGTGTGCAACTTCAATTGAACTTTTTTACTTAAGAATGAGAAGTCGCGACTACTACAGGAGGAAATAGTTGATAATGAATTAGTCTCCAAGTAGGAGATTGTTAGAAAATGTGGAGACAAATTCAATTTTTATTTATATTGGAGATGAAAGTTGGTTATTGTAACTCTCAACATTAATTGTAAATTGTTAATAGGAATTAGGTGATAATTGATTTATAAAAGTTGTAATTAATAGAATGCTTGAACTCCAATTATAAAATGGAGCTTTAACTTGTGCTTTAGTGTAAAAGTATCAAGTGAGGAAGTGAGAAGTAAGAGATAGAGAGAGCTAGAAAGCTAAAAAGTTAGTGCAAAATATAAAAAATAAAATATAGTTCTTCTCTTTAGTAATTTTTTATTTTTATCGTAATAAAATTTCTACAACAATTTTAAAGGTGGACACAATTTTCATATTGAAATTGAATCACTATAAATTTTTAATAATTTTTGGACAATATATTTTACATATATTATCGCTTTCGATTTGCAGGATAGACACTTAATCCCGAACATGATTCATGTAGCGTCAATTTGCATTTAATATCAGAAACAACTGGTTTCGCATATGAAATAACTAAAACGATTCACGTTTTGTTAATTAGAAATTAAATTTTTTTTTAAGATTGAAGACAAAAATGATATTTAGCCCGGAAGAAAGAATTAAAGAAATTCTTTTATCAGTCCTTGTACTAAATTAAGCAGGAAGTTGATAGTAGTTCCTCAGCTTGTCAAGGAAAAAAGAAAAGTTGATATAGAGAGAATTAGAGAATTAAGTGAGAAACAATGTTGAGAGCAGAAGTAATTAATTTATTATCATCCCAAAAAATCCATTTCAGACAGCTTTTCATATATAGAATTACAACTATCTATACAGTTTAATTTCATGATATTGAAACAATCATATACAAATATCTTTCATTTCTTGCTGTAAGGACGAGCAATTAGGCTCCAAAATTCCTTGAGAGTAAATTTCTCTGAAGAATAAAACTTTTCACGCGCCAAATTTCTCAGAAGCACTCGGAAACCTGTTCTTCTATCGGTCACCATTTGTTATTTAATTTGTTCAATTGGGACCCAAACAGCTCAAGTACATGACTTTCCTCAAGGATTCCTCTTTTTGTTTCATCTTCTCATCTATCAGTTTGCTTGAAACCATTGCAGATGATGAAGAGGACAACTTGTTGGCCTGAGAAAACGACCTGACCTGGTTTTTGGCATGCTGATGAAGTGATGTCATGGTATAGTTCCATCGGCAGAACCCTTGATCTTTTAAGGCCTCCACGGCTGCAATACTGGCTGCTACCACCCATGTTCTACTTGTTGAACTCATCTTTAGCGTCGCAAAGACTGTTTTCTTTTACACTATGTTTGAGAATGCTGTTTTATTTTTTTTTTTAATGAACAGAGATGCAAAACCTCTTTCTTATATAAGGGTTGATGCTGCGGCTGGCTATGGCTGTCACCACTTACCAGTTAGCAGTGGTTTTGGGTGTGCAAATGCCAATGGCATTCATGAAATTACTTCACTGACCTTTTAGGAACGTTGGCTTTATATAATAAATGGGGATAAATTTGGGTTTTCAGCAACGATCGTTTTTTTTTTTCCCAAAAGTATTATAGTATCATATCATACTAGAGAAATTGTGACAAAGCAAACATGTCGTTTGTCAATGCGCACGCAGTTTTGCCTTGTCTAAAATACAGTTAAGCCGGGCGTATTGGAATCAAAACCGCTATGTTATCTTGAAAGGAATGGCTGAAAAGCATTATGGTGCCTGCTTGTCGACTAAGGAATTAATTTCCAAAACTTTGGCATTTCTCAGATGTAAAATTAATCATATTAAAGCTTATACAGTTGGAGGCAAAAAGGTAAAGCTTCTTATTATTTTGTATACTTCTTCATCTATATAATTTAATTATTACTAGGTGAAATTAAGATTAACAGACGTCAAAAACTAGTGCTTACTTTCCCGTTTTCTGTTGTTTTACTTTGGTTAATTTCAGGCAGTCAAGCTTGATATTTGCCTCCTGTTTGCCTCGTTAAACTAAATTTTACCATGATAAATAGTACATTTATGATCTCATCTCATCTGCCTAAAAATGCTAAAACAACACATCACAAAAAATGAACGTTTTCTACTATTGTACTGGTTAATTTACATCTATTTACTGTTTTCTATTGTAAATCATGATCATTCAAGTTTCTTCTGCTCCTAAATGTACAAAAGATTACGAGCCTTTTCGACGTGTCTATTAATTTTTAATTCTTGAGTTGAAAATCAGACATCATGAATGTACAAGGGGACAGTGTATATCATGTACTCGGTTTCCATATGTATGGTATCTTACACCTCTAGGAAACCAAATTGGAAATTTCCATTGATGAGTTTGGCTTTCCACTATGAAGAATTTAAGGATCTCCACACAATATTTCAAAAAAAAAAAAAAAAAAAAGAAAAGAAAAGGATCTTCACACAATGCATAAAATAGCAAACAAAATTAAGAGCCTGATTATGTGTAAAGAATCTTCTTTATCCTTATTTATCGACATATCAACATGCCCAGTTGCCCACCGTGTGACGGTGAGAGATCCATGATTTACCGTATAACCAACAGAAAGAAAACAAGTTGACAAAGTTACTCTCTTTTTTCTGATCAAAAGAAAAGGCTTTCCTATACAATTTCATATTTCCTCTCGTCATTTTGAACGACTAGAAATCGAACATACTACAACCTCTGCTTTATCAAAAATAAAATGAACATCAGTGTCAGTAAGGACCCCAACAGCTCAAGTACATAACTTTCCTCAAAGGCTCCTCAGCCTGCTTTGTTTTTTCATCTGTAATTTTGCTAGAAACAATCGCAGAAGAAGAAAGCTTCTTTGCCTGAGTGAATGATATAACATTATTCTTGGCATGTTGGTTAAGTGACCTAATTGGATGATTCCACCTGCAAAACCCTTGGTATTTCAAAGCCTCAACAGCTCCAATACTTGCTGCAACAATCCACGCTCTGCTTCCTCCACTTGAAGCCATCTTCAACTCAAAAAATTTATTGTTTTTTCTGCTCTTTATCTTGTTTAGCTTCTTGTGTCTTGGTGAGGTGTTACACTCGATGCTTAATTTGGATAGCTGATGGAACGCCGAGGAGGTATTATAGAGAAGGTGAGATATTATATGCCGATAGCACTTTGATTTTGTTTAATCAGGAGAACTTTTTGTCCCTAGTGATCCTTTATATATAACCGCTGGAATTAGATACTACACAGAATGAGAGTGGTTTACTGTTTTTGCTTTTTTTTTTTCCTGCCAGCTTCTATCGAAAAGAAATAAAGTGGGGTTGATCCAATGTAACGTCATCTCAATAGAAAGTGATGATCATCAATTTATCATTGTTGACATATAACAACCGCCCCCAGTTTGTTGAGTGCTTTTGGCTTTTCACTCAAAAACGTTGGCCGAACTTGGTTTCTTGGGAATGGGAATGGGAATTTGGGATATGTTTTGCAGGTTGACACTGCTGCTGCTTTCAGAGCAGGAAATGTTAGCATGTATTTTGTGTTTAAGTAACTGATATATTGACAACTAGCGGCTGTTATCATGATATATTTAAGTTAATTATAAGGCTCCATGCACAGTTGTGATAACACGCGGCAGCATGCGGGGGAAAGAAGCCATAACCTCAATTTTTATTTCAATTTTAACCTTACAAAAAGGAGGGTTATGTAATTTATGGTATGGTGGAAGAAGACTTTGCCGGAAGCCAAGATGGGCAATGGACATGATCTATCATAAAAAGGAAAGTAATTAGGGTACGTTAAAGATAGTATTCCGATTGAGACACGTTTCGATACTCAATACTCAAATCAATTAGGTACTTGAGAGAAGGAAATGAGTGACAGTGGTGAAGAGGTAGAGGATGTGGAGAATAGAGTGTTGCCAATGTATTACTTGTTTAGTTCAATGTTATTTTTGTATCATGTAAACGATGACGTGACTAATTGAATTAATTATCGTGTGTTAAGCTTGCTGAGGTGACCACCAGATTTATTGTTGACGTTCAGTTAATGGTATAAAAAATAGCTTAGATAAAGCTAGTAAATTCATCTTACTTGATTTTGATGAAAGAAATATATAAATGGATGGCCTATGAAGGATGATATATATGTGCACATGCACTTATCATATTTGAAGGAGTGACGGGACCAAGATACTAATGACTCAGGCAATTGTGAATCGAAGGCGGTTAACAGTAGGAAATAGCTAGCCCCGGAATACAACCCGGAATACAACCAATTTTAGGACGTTATCCCCGGCCGTATCTAAAACTAATATCAAGTGGCTTTGTATTTCCAGATGCGACTAATCAAAAGAAAAGGTTTTCACGTACTCTCTGTTGAAGCCCCCTACTTATAAGCTAAGAATTCATGGTGGACTGAAAACAAACTCCAAGTCTGAGGCTATCCCTATAGAAGGTTCCATACATAAGCTACAGGCCTACTGCGGGTAGCGTTAAGAATGAACTTAAGGCATGTGTGAGACTCAGAGGCATTCAGGGGCAGAAAGACCACAACTCTAAAGGGATCATTACTTGAGCCAAGCCTTATCATCAGGCCAATCCCAGATCGGAAACTGGAAAGTCTTCTCCGGTCTGATGGGTCTCAGGTACCAGAGAATCTGTTAAACAGGTTGGCTTACGGACCATTTGGATCCGACCGGAACATGAATGAAGTGAGATTTGATAACTTTTTTAAGCTCAAACGCAACATTTCGGTGTTTGGTTATCATCATTGCGTTGCCAGTTAATCACCGGAGGTTTCAGCTACAGTGAAAATAATTTACTCGCACCACACCTTTTTTTCTCAATTTTACCCCTATGATTTTTTTTTCCATTTTGCCTTAAAATTATAAGTTTACTTTTTTTCATTTTAATTTTTTATTTAAAAATATTGAAATAATTTTTTATTTAATATAATTAATATTTTTAATATTATATAATAAATTAATAAATAAAATCATATATAGTATATAATAAATAATATTTATTATTATTTTGATTGAAAATAAAAATTTTTATATTTTAAATATTATAAATAACATTAAAATATATATATAAATAATTCATCAATATAGTTTTAAAATAAAATCTTTAATAATAATTTTTTTATTATCATTTAATTACACCACTAATTTTACATTTCAAATATATATTATTAATATTTCTAATTTATCACTGTAATAATTAATTTTACTAATCTCATCAAAATTACTCTTTATTCACGAAAGATACAAAATTTAAGGGAAGATAAAAAGGCTGACGACATCATGCATCTTATCAGCCGGGGACTCATTTAGTGTCTCATCCGTACATGCACAGAAGCGAGGCCGTTTGAGCGCTCTTGTTTTCTGTTTTTTTTTTCCTTTTTTTCTTTTTTTTTTTCTTTGAGTAGTTTGACTAGTTGTACTGTAACCTGCCGTGTGGGTTATGATCTAAAGAACTGTTACGGTAACTTTCTCTTTAAAGCTGTTAGATTAATAGGTATTTCATTGCTCATAGTTATTTATATATAGTCACAGTCTCATAGCTAGCATAGATACCGTATGATTTAAGTTTCCAGGGACAAAAAAATGTATTAACAAAGATCGCAAGTTAACGATGATTAAGGGGTAATCTAATCAAGGATTAACGTTCCGTGATCTCATGTATGTCTTTTATCCAATCACAAGAGGCCTACACATCGTATGAATTCCAAGTATGAAGTTCGTAAAGAATATTTAATTCACACGTTTCATTAATTTTGCTTCTTTAATTCCATCTGCACTCAGTTTAAGTTAGATATTTGTGGCCCTCGCTAACTAAAATATTATGGGCAAACGAATCTGCTTTTGACTCATTAAATGATACGATATCCAAATACAGTATGATACTATAGGACATGAACAGGGGAAAGTATCTTGCTATTAACGGGAAAGGACACACTTAAGTCTTACAGATAGAGATTATGGAAAGAGAGTGGGAGGGAAATGTAGAGGGAAAAAAAAAAAAAAACCTACATAGAAGTCGAAAGACTAAAATAACTTTTTTTTTTCTTTACATAATTCGGTAAGCAAAAGTGTCTTAATCAGAGGCATTGCATTTTTTTTTCTAAATTCAAATTTTTAAAATACAATTTATTACCGTTGATATTGAGGTGAGATTTCATGCAAATTCAAGTTGTGAAGTTATTTTTGTTAAGTAAATTTTCATTATTACTGATTTTTTTTAATTTACAAAAAATAGTTATTTTCAAACATGACAATGGTACCTTACAAATAGATATTCGAAATTATTTGATTCTATTAAATAAGATAAGGATATCTTATAATCGAATTAGATTAAAGTTTGAGTAATAGAATTATTATTGTTACCTGATCAAGTAATAATTTTATGATACTCATTATTTGAACTCGATTATAAATAATATTTTTAATATTATATATATTTTTATAAATTATTTGTTATTAATATATTTATTAAATATTTTAATTATGAATTTTAACTTTAATTTATTTTTTATAACTGAATTTTAATTTGTTAATTAAATTTTTTTTATAATATGTATTAAAATTGATTTTAGTTTTAAGTTTGAAAGTCATATTTTAATTTAATAAATGAATATTTAATGAGTTTGAATAATTAAAGTGAATTTTTTATTTATATGACTAAGATTCTAATAATAAAAATAAAAATTTTTAAATAATTATCACATTCATGTTTATTGATAAATAATTGAATTCAAATAAAAATATTAAAAACAATATATACCATTTATATCCTCTATATAAATATTATAAATTTGCATCAAAGGTTTTCATGTATCAATCATATGACATGTCACGTGGTAGCCTATTGATTTTTATTATTTTTTATTTTTTTGTGATGGGCTCAACCAATTTTTTAAAAATTTTTAAAGGGTATAAAGTTCCCATCCTTTTTTGTTTTTTAAGGTGTAGGATCCAATTTTTTTTTATTTTTTAATTGATAAAGCTTATATTTAAAAAAAATTTTTTGAAAAGATGTGGGGCCATAATTTTTAAATTAATCCTTTGATTTAATTTTTTTCTCCCATTTTATTATATTTAATAGTTGAAAAAATATATATTTTTTAAAAAAATTTTTGTGTGGCTTACTTATATCAAATTTTTTTTCCTTTTTTTTTTTGCTTCTTCCTTTTTTATTTTTTTATTTTTAAAATTTTTTTTTAATTTTATTTTGTTATCAAGAGTACAAGACATTTTTTTTTAACTTTTCTTTTTTTTAACATACTTGATAAATATTTTTTTATTTCAATTTTTTGTGAGACCTATTTTATATCAATAATATACAACATGTCAAGTCATTTGATTTTTATTCATTTTTTATTTTTCTTTATTTTTCTATTATCTTTTTCAATATTTAATATATTTTTTTATATTTTGACTTTTTTAATATTGGCCACTTGATATTATTATTAAAAACATGTATAATAATAACACACTAAGCCTCGTATCTTATACTACGGGTCAACTATATAAAAAATTAAATAAAAAAATCAAATAGGTTATAGTTTAAATTTTCGTGCACCACTCATTTTTATTAGGATCCACATTTTCATCTAATTTTTTAACTACCATATCATTTTGTATTACTTACATTCATATCTTTCGTAATATACTTCTGGATGTTTTGATTTTTTCTATATCTAAAGACTCAATTCTCCTAATCGATGCACATATAGGCCTACATTTTATATTTCTAAACTATCACAAATGAACTTCTCTCATATTTTTTTTTAATTTGGACTATCCTTAATTTTTCTCGAATCTCTTTACTTATGATTTTGTCTCTTCTAGTTTTACCTCATATCCATCTAAACATTCTTATCTATGCTACATTCATTTTCTTTTCATATTGTAACAACATATGTTTGATTTTTTTTATTTTTCATTTTTTAATTTGATCATTTTTAAAGAAACTTATATTAGTTGATGTGTTGGCTTTGCATCCGAATTTTATTTTTTTTGCATTTTTTTTAGTTTTAATTTTTTAATTTATAATATAAAGTTTTTGATAAAAGTTCACCATTGCTGATATCACTTATGAACTTTTTTTAAAATTGTTGTCTTTTTTTTAAGGTTTTTTCTTTTTTTTTTTTTGTAAATTAGATCATTTTTTATTTAAAAAAAAAAAACAACGAATGTATATATGTGGTGCCTAATTCC